TTTCTCCCTCTCTTTTCTTCTCTACTACTGAAATCTTTATCTTCCTCCCCTTTTCCTTTCACAAGAAATTCAACTAAATCTACAATCAGTGATTTCTACTTGGTATCAGAGCAGGCCGAAGGTTCCTTGAGTTGTTTCCTCTTGTAGCCCTAGATCGGCTGACTGCATGGTGATTTAAGAGGCTAATCGAACCTCTCAAGTAAGCCCAGTTGTTGGATTTTTTGGTGGATCTGTGTGCCCTGTAGATGGTCTAGGGTTTCTCATCAAAATCAGGAAAAACTAGAGAAAGGGGAAGAGTCCTATTTCTGTTGGACTCTTCAATTTTGACCTAGGAAGTGGCGCCCTAATTTTTTAGGGTTTCTTGGAGTTTTCTATAAGGGGTGGCTCAAGTCCTGCCTGATTTGGAGGCTTCTAGAGAGAGCGGCTGCCTCTTCTCTCTCTTCTCCCGTCCCACAGAAAAGGAATCTTTTGTGGGAAGACAGTCTAGGACAGCAGAAAGGTGTTGTTGGTTCCAGAAATGTTTCGTTTGATCTTGTTACATATTTCAGTTATTTTCTTTACATTTTTTGAGAAGCATGGAGGGTCACGGAGTTGAAAATAAGCCCGGTAGTGAAATGGGACCAGTGGGAGGAGGTGTTGGAGATCTTTTCGGGACTAGGACCATTACTACAGTTAGGTTGGATGGTGCAAATTACTTAGAATGGTCACAATTTGCAAAGATGGCCATTGGTGCTCGTAGGAAATTAGGGTATATCACTGGTGAGGAAGTGAAACCCGAAACTAGCAACTCCCGGTGGGTACAGGAGAATTATATGGTGATGACTTGGTCGTGTAATTCCATGTTGCCCCATATAGGTAAAAATTTTTTATGGGCAAATACAACTAAGGAAATATGGGATGGGGTTGCAGAAACCTATTCACAGAGGGAGAATGTTGCTAGGCCTTATCAATTGAGAAATCAGATTATTTCTACAAAGTAGGGAGATAGACCTGTTGTAGCCTATTTTTCAGCCCTTAAAACCCTGTGGCAGGAGATTGACCATTTAGAGACATTTGCTTGGGAAACCACCAAGGATGCAACTAACTACCTATCAGAAACATCTAGAGAAGTATAGGGTGTTTGAATTTCTTGTTGGCCTTAATCCTGAGTATGAGATTGCAAGACAACATCTTCTTTCCAGGGACAGTGTTACCCTCTCCTAGGCATATGCCTTTATGTCAGGGGAGGAGAGCAGGAGAGATGTGATGATGAAAAATCCTGTCTCTAATCAGTCTGCCATGGTGAGTACTGTGAAACCTAAACAAAGTGGAGATCGGGGTGGCAGTGAAATCAAGAAGGAAGATAAAAGAGATTTGATCTGTGACTACTATAAGAAGCCTAAACACACAAGAGATACTTGCTGGAAGCTTCACCCACATCTTGTGCCAACTAGACTGAAAAATAAGAAGGGAAATGTACACATGGCAGTTACTGGTGACATTCCGGCCCCTCCTACTACAGCTACTCTAGAGTCTGTTGTAGCTACTGCAGTAAGGGCCGAACTTGAGAGGTATGGGCAACTTTTGAACCAGCGGGATACAGCCAATTCCAGTTCAGCAGCAAGCGGACAACAAGGTACAGGTGGCACTGGTGAAGTCCACTATACTGCCTTTGCTCACACAGGTAGTTCACACGTCACTGCAAATTATGTTTCTACTTCARGTAAGGAGGGACCTCCTTGGATTATAGATTCTGGAGCCTCAGAGCACATGACCCATAG